TATTAATATATATTTTATTTAAAGTAACACAAATATAATTTTAATAGCTTTTAACATAAAAAGCAAAATTTTATTGCAAATGCGTTTCTTAATAAAATGGCTGTGATCAGATTTATTGTGCTTTGATTGAAGGAGGCTTCCCTGACACCAATAAATTACCCCCTTGTTTAATACCCCAGAAGCTTTTAAACAACAGGGCAACACTGCAAAGAAAGATTTCTTCTTGTGTCAAGTCAGAGAAGGGCAGTTGTGAAATAGGAGATAGGACTGAAAACAAGTCAGGTTCTCAGGCAGATCATTTTTAGAGAAAGATACACACAAATTTCAAGATCTAGAAACTGATTTCCTTAAAATATCTGGGCCCGGTACTCCTGTAAATCTCAGGTGCCATTTCCCCAGTTTGAAGACCACTGCATTAGACTGTTCTAATATTACTCATTTACTGTCAGCCAGTCTATATTCAGTAATGAGATCTGTTCTGGTTACTTAGTGCCACTCTAACAGAAATATACTACAAATGGGATGGCCTTAACAGGAGTTTATTCTTACAATTTGGAGGCTTTAAGTCCAAGTTTAAAGTTTCCCCAGTTTGAAGACCACTGCATTAGACTGTTCTAATATTACTCATTTACTGTCAGCCAGTCTATATTCAGTAATGAGGTCTGTTCTGGTTACTTAGCGCCACTCTAACAGAAATATACTACAAATGGGATGGCCTTAACAGGAGTTTATTCTTACAATTTGGAGGCTTTAAGTCCAAGTTTAAAGTACCAGGCTCTAGGGGCTGGATGAAGGCCCCTCAGCCTTGGGCTTCAGCTCTGCCTCCAGCTCCTGGCCCACTGAAGCTAGAGGCTTTTCTTCAGTCAGACAGCTGCTGGCTGCTGAGGCTGCCAAGCCCAAAGTTGACAAGTAAAAAGGCACAGTCCCGGTGTTACCAAACCACATGGCAAGTCCATTGTAAGTCCCAAAGTCAGCAGAGCATAGCAGGTTGCTTAACAATGACATGACTACATGCAGGGTCCAAGCATGCCATAAGCTAGAGACCATTCCCAAAGCTGCTTTTTATATACGGGAAGCAGACCACATCCCAAAGGCAGCTACTCAGCTGCTTGTGGTAGATTCCACCATGGAGTTGATTGCCAGTCTCATCATGGGGAATAACTACCACTAGCTGCCCAGCCACTCAACCAGGCCCAGCCAAATTGACACACAAACAACCACCACAAGGTCTGAAGGAAATCAGCAGGATATTTGAAGGAAAGCATCATGAATGTCAATGAAGCTGATAAATTTCCTAAAACCTGTTTGGCATTTCTGGTTTGGAAGAACAGCTGTAGATGAGTTAGAAAACTGTGGAAGACTGAGCTTTTAAATGATATAAAGTCCTTTGAACATGTATGTTTATCTTGGGAAAAGGAGCCATAATTGCCATGGTCATTCATTAATAACATTGTAAAAGAAAAAAACTTATTCCAAACTTAGAAAAAGAAAAATGATTATTGGTAGATCTTTTTTTCTCTATCATGTAAGAGGATTTTCTAGTAAGTGCTTATCTGACATTCTTGGGGAATTGAATTTTGTTGTCACAGTATATTTACCTAGTAATCCATTATTGAAAAAAGACTCAGATGATTACACTTCTGTGTGTTAGCGTTAACCTAAAAATGAAAGAGGTGCTGGGAGTTCATAGCACAGAAGAGAAATTAACACCAGGGTTGTATCAACTCTTGCCACAGTTGCTGTTCAGTCAGTTCTGACCGATGGTGACCTGATGAATGTCAGAATAGAATTGTACTTCATAAGATTTTTAATGGCTGATTTTTCGGAAGTAGATCACCAAGCCCTTCTTCTAAGGAGCCTGAGAGTAGACTTAAGCCTCAAATATTTTTCGGTTAGTAGCCAAGCACATTAATCATTTGGACATATCAACCCTACCCATATTTTATTTTGCTACCACTACACTCAAATCTTTTTCCTGTAAACAATTGTGCAGTCAGCAGCTTCTCTTAATGACTGTCTCACTGTTGTTGGTAGGTGCTATCAAGTAGGCTCCAACTCACATGTACAACAGAACAAAACACTGCCAGCCCCCAAAACTGCTATACCTGAACCCAGCTTTGCAGCCACAGTGTCAATCCATCTCGCTGAGAGCCTTCTCATTGACCCTCCACTTTACCAAGGATGATATCCTTCTGCAGAGAATGGTCCCTTCTGACAACATGATCAAAATAGGTGAGACGAAGTCTGGCCATTCTCACTTCCAAGAAGCATTCCGGCTGCATTTCTTCCAGGATAGATTTGTTCATTTTTCTGGCAGTCCATGGTACTTTCAGTATTCTTCACTAACACCACAACTCAAAAGCATCAACTCTTCTTCAGTCTTCCTTATTCATTGTTCAGCTTTCACATGCATATGAGGTGACTAAAAACACCATGGTTTGGGTTAGGCGCACCTTAGTCTTCAAAGAGACATTTTTGCTCTTCAGCACTTTAAAGAGGTCTTTTGTAACAGATTACCCAGTTCAATATGTCATATAATGTCTTTACGGCTGCTTCCATTGATGTTGATTGTGGAACCAAGTAATATGAAATCTTTGACAATTTCAATCTTCTCCCTGCTTATTGTGATGCTGCTTATTGGTCCAGTTGTGAGGATTTTCACTTTCTTTATGTTGAAGTGTAATCCATACTTCATACTGCAGTCTTTCATATTCATCAGTAAGTGCTTTCAAGTCACCTTCACTTTCAGCAAGCAAAGTCGTGCCGCCTGCGTGTCACACGTTGTTAGTGAGTCTTCCTCCAATCCCAATGCCACATTATTCTTCATATAGTCCAGGTTTTCTGATTGTTTGCTCAGCATACAGATTGAATAAGTATGGTAAAAGGATACAACCCTGACACACTCCCTTCTTGGTTTTAAACTATGCAGTATTCCCTTGTTCTATTCAGGATAATATTTGAAAAACCAGTTACCATTGACTTATGGCAGCCTCATGTGTTCAGATTAGAACTGTGCTCCACAGAACTTTCAGTGGCTGCTTTTTTTTTGAAGTAGATCACTGGACTCTTTTCCCAGGCCATTTCTGGGTGGATTCCAACCTCTGACCTTTCAGTTAGCAGACAAGTACCTTAACTATTTGCACCGTCCAGGGACTCCAGGGTAATATTAATAGTGAGGTCACTAATGACAGCCTCCTGGTCTGTGTACAGGTTACTCATGAGCACAATCAAGTGTTCTGGAATTCCCATTCTTCTCAATGTTATCCATAATTTGTTATGACTCACATAGTCGAATGCTTTTGTAAAATCAATAAGACACAAGTAAACATCTTTCTGGTATTCTTTGTTTTCAGCCAAGATCCATCTGCCATCAGCAATGATATCCTTTGTTCCACATCCTCTTCTGAATCCGGCTTGCATTTCTGTAAGTTCTCTGTCAATATACTGCTGCAACCATTTTTAAATTATCTTCAGGAGGATTTTACTTGTGTGTGATGTTAATCACATTAGATTAGTGACTTTCTCTCTAATTATTAAAACTTTGACATGAAACCAAAACCCACTGTTATTAAATCAACCCTGACTCACAATGACCCTATAGGACAGAGTATAACTGCCATATAGGGTTTACAGGAGCTCTGGTAGCATAGTGCCTAAGGCACCTGACTGCTAACCAGAAGGCTGGTGGTTCAAACCCACCAGCCACTCCTCAGAAGGAAGGTTGAGCCGTCTATTTCCATAGTGATACCACCTTGGAAACCCAAGGAGGGGTCACTCTGAGTCGGGTCTGACTTGACGGCACATAACAACAACAACAATATAGGGTTTATAAGGCCACAAGTCTTTACAAAGCTATAAATCTTTACAGGAGCAGACTGCCTTGTCCCGTGGAGTGGCTGATGGGTTTGAACCACCAAACTTTTGATTAGCAGTCAAATGTTTTAACTGTTGTGCCACCAGATCTTTCAAACTTGGGTCACTACCTATTTGTATTAGAATTTTGTTTATAGCATATTTAAAGTGACTCTGGCCCGAAGAGATAGTTATTTCTTCATATCTAGGCTATAAAATCATTCTAGATGCATCTAGATTGCCATGAAGGTAGGTTATTTATTTAATTTTATATCCTGACATGTAAAGATTTTCTTGTCAGAGAAAATCTAATGGATCAGATGTCCTAAAACATTCTTAATTCTTTTCTAATAGTATGAATTTAGCCAAATTTAGCAAACAAAAGCAGGTGATTTGTTTATGGTAAGACTTTCAAATCCTATGGACTATATATATACTTTTCCATAACCACTTGGCACATTTTGACTTTGAACAGCAGTTTCACAAAAACAGAATATATGGACAAGGAAGTTTTGCATACAGCAAGCTTCCTCTAATCCATATCTTCACTGAAGGGTTTCAAATTTCTAGGCCAGAGTCCTTACTAGAGGTGAAGAGACTTATCAAATATCAGAGTGAAATTCTCTTATTTGAAATGACCTCACTAATAATATTACCCTGGAGTACCTAGATGGTGCAAATAGTGAAGGTACTTGTCTGCTAACCGAAAGGTTGGAGGTTGGAATCCACCCAGAAATGGCCTGGGAAAAGAATCCCAGTGATCTACTTTAAAAAAATCAGCCCCTGAAAGCTCTGTGGAGCACAGTTCTAATCTGACACACATGAGGCTGCCATAAGTCAATGGTAACTGGTTTTTCAAATATTATCCTGATTTTAAAAAGACATATAAAGCTACCCAGATATGTAAAGATACAAAAACCTACCCACACAGACTCACCTAGGGGATACCAAGAGTTCACTTGTCCTTAAACGATTTAACAATATGATTTTTTCTTCTCAAAGTTCTTTCTCCCCTTGGCCTCCAGGACAGCAGGCTACCAGTGTTCCTCCTATTTCCCTGGTCGCTCCCATTTTCTCCCTCCTCTGAAGGTTAAAAAGATTCCTTGTGGAATAGTACTTAAGCACTGGGTTGCTCATCAAAAGGTAAATTGTTCAAACCCACCAGCTACTCTGCAGGAGATAAGCAGTCTGCTTCTGTAAAGAGTTATAACCTTGGAGTTATAACTGTGAGAGCAATTCTACCCTGTCCTGTAGGGTCACTGTGAGTTGGAATTGGTTTGACAGAATGGGGTTGAAGGCTCCACTTCCACTACCAAGGCTTGAATTCTGAGATTCCTAGCTCCTCATCTGTGCTACACACAGATTCTAGGCTATCTCATCTTCTCCTAAGCCTCAAATATCATTAAGTTGCTCTAGAATGCCAAATTTTCATCTCTCTAGCCAAGACCCACTTCGGCATAAATCCTCCTAAACGCTTCAACCTCAGTATGCTCAAAATTGAACTCATCATATCACCACCCTGAGGCTCCCCTCCTCCAATGTTCCTGTGTTAGTAAAGGAAACTAGCATCCCTTCCATTTTCCCTTCTCATTTCTCTGGTCTCATCTCCCATTTCTCATCTTCAGCCATCTTGGGCTCTGTGTGAATATTTCCTGTTTGCCCTCTCAGGTTATCTTGTCTGCTCCATGCTTCAGGTGGCTGACCTGTGCAGTCAGTGGATTATCTTGTTTGCTGGTTTCTGGTTGGTTTGGGTCCAAAGGAAGTACTTGCAGAGATTAGAGGGAAGCAAGACAGCAGAAGAGTAAGCAGAGATTGACACAGGCTGATTTTCCCCCCTCTATCAAAATGCCAACTCCTTGAAACAACTGAAATACCTATCAACAGATGAATGGATAACCAATCTATGGTACATTCACACAATGGAATACTATGCTACATTAAAGAACAATGAAGAATATGCGAATCATCTCACAAAATGGATGAATCTGGAGGACATTATGCTGAGTGAAATAAGTCAATTGCAGAAGGACAAATAATGTATGAGGCCATTACTGTCAAAAGTCAAGGAAGGGTTTGCTTAGGGCAGGGAACTCAATTTGTAGGTTACCAGGGATGGGAGGGAAAGAGAAGGGAAAATTTCGGACTAGTTGGGGGCCACAAGCTGAGTTGGGTAAGGGGAGGGACAGTATGGAAAGAGTCTGTGACAAGCATGATAATATTGAGGAAAGGGAGGACACAGAATTGTGCACATAAGATATAGACGACAGAGGCTAATACCAGTATATGCAAATACTGCATTACCACTAACACCAAACACCAGGCTACAGATAAATGAAAGACAACTGAGAAGATCAGATGGAGATTGGTGAACAGGAATATACTCTAGACCAGTGATAGATTCAGCTGAGGATAATCTTGCACAGATACTAGTGATACAAAAAAGCCACAATAATTACAGAAGCAAAAAAAGACAGACTTGGAATAATCTCTCAGAGACAGCCAAACACTTTGGGAGAGAGAACCACCAGGTCTGTTGACTCAGGATCATGGTATTGGGAGACATCAGGTTCAATTAGCATGACATAATACATAAAAATCTTGTTCCACAACCTACTATGGTGAGTAGCAACTGGGGTCTTAAAAGCTTTCAACCAGCCATCTAAGATGCAGCTAATGATCTCCTCTCATCTGAAATGAAGAAGAGTGAAGAAAACCAAGGCCATTTGGAAATAATCAGCCCCAGGATGTGATAGACCTTGAGATCAGAAGAACTAGATGGTGCCCAGCTACCAATGCCAATCACTCAGAAAGGGATCAAAACTGAAGATCCTGGATAGAGTGGGAGGAAAAGGGTGAAACAAAAGTCAAAAATACAATAATGACCAGAATTATTGGTTGGACAGAGTCTGATAGAACCCCAAGACTATGGCCCTGGGATACACTTCGGCCCTGGGATAAGACTCACTCCCAAGGACTGGCTCTCCGACCAACTGTAGTAAGACTTAAATGCAGAACACCCAAGGTGATACACCCACCTAGCCTATGGAGATACACTCCTTGGAGCAATCAGCCATGGGGCACAAGAGGGCCAACATTCACATGGAGGGAAAACTGGACAGATAGGAGTACATAACTAAGAAGGGCACAGGGATGGGGGGGGGGGATCACAGAGAAGGGAGAAGAGGAGAGTGGTTTAGGGTTCGGGATGGTAATCGGGCAGTGAAACCAAATGTACATGAGCTGTTGAATGTAAAACAAATTCTGCTCTGTAAATTTCCACCCAAAGCACAATTAAAAAAAAAAAAAAAAGCCAACTCCTTAAGATGGCCTCTCCAAACAGCTTCTCTATCTCGTTTCCAGAAATCACTCCTTTACTTCCAGTGTAGACCTGAGGTGATGTTATTTCCAGGGTATGGCATCATCTCTTGTATGTCCCCTATACCCTGCCTAAACTTCATAAGTAGTGTCATATAGAATTCTCTTCAAATTGCCCAATTTGTGTGTTCCACAAGCTTCCTGCAGAATTCTGACTAACAGAATCTGCTTTCAGATGCTAAAATGTACCCATCTCTGCTTACTTCTTCAGGAACATATTTATGCTAGTTCCCTTGACTCAGTTATGATGGCCTGCCACACCTTCCATGGAACCCTGTACTTCTGTAACACATCCTTCACACTTCATGGAACTAATTGACTAAGCGCTAACATCTACCTTCTCTAAAAGGCAGCACACTTCCCAAAATCAGGGACTGGGTCTTCATCTTGCTCATTGCCATAGACTCAGAGCTCAACCTGGAAATTTGAATTTGTTGAATTCATAAATGGATGAATAAATATATTAATGAGCCTACTTTTATTCAACACACAATCTTGTGTCAGAAAAACATAAAACAAATTTTTTTGGAAATATGAGAATAATTTGACAACATCCTAATAAATATAATTTATTATATAAAAATAAATTGTATTACCAAATAATAGATATCATTAATACCTATTCCTCAGAGAGAAAGATGGAAAATAACTTTGCAGGAAAGATATAGCTATGACACACCAAAAAATGATCATATATTTTGCCTCACAGAAACAATAGGATATGTTCATACAAGCCACACTCTCTGAATGCAATGCAATAAGCTAGAAATTAATAGTTAAATTAATTTGGTGGGAAGGGAACTAACCACTTATAATATTCTAAATAATTTCTAGGTTAAAGAACTAAAAGTTAAAGTTGCAGGCCATTAAAAACTAACAGTAACAATAGAACTACATATCAAATCTACGGATTTGTTCGAAGCAATACTCATAAGAAAATGTATAGCCTTAAATACATTTATTAATATAATAAAGAGTAAAATAAAGGAACCAAATCTTTGGTTCCACATATATATTTAGAAAAAGAATAAGAATGAAAAGTTTAATAACAAAAGTAGAAATTAATTTTAAAAGCAAAATAAAAATTATGATTTATAAATAGAACCAGAAGTTCTAAGTATGAATAAGAAAGAAGATACAAATATAAATACATGGCACTAAAAATGAGTAAATTAATGTAATCCTACTTAAGGAAGAAAAGTTATAATTAATTGGTAAATACTCTGTACATATAGATTATCAAGATGGAATGGATGATTTTTAGAACATATAACCTTTCAGTTAAACATCTCAACTTTATATTAATTTATCAGCATCAAATAATAAGAAAAAAGTCCTGAACAGTGTTTCTTCCTTCTTCCGCATATACCCAGAACACAAACACTATGCATATACCAGGTACCCTGTCTCAACTCTCCTATATTATCTTTTTTTCAAAGAAACATATTCTAATCCATATTATGTGTCAATCACTGTGCTAAACACTAGGAAATCAAAGAATTTACAGTATAGTGGGAGAAATAGATGTACACACTGATAGTAATACCATGTGGTACATGTGATAATGCATAAAAAGTCATTGCCATTGATTAAGCTTCTGCTATGTGTCAGGTTCTTTACATTTATCTTGAATTCTGTCCTGTATGTCCAACTCTCACCTAAACATTTTTACTTAATATTTCACCATTACCTAAATCTAAGTTTTTTCCCAATTGAATGGCACCACTATCCTTTCTTTACCTGGGCTCGAAATCTTTGAGTTTATAGTCAGGCATCAATTCCTGTCACATTTTGTTTTGAAGTACTATTGTATCCATCCTTTGTTGAGCATTTCCATGACTGCTATTTTATTTAGGAGCTCTGGTAGCATAGTGCCTAAGGCACTTGACTGCTAACCAGAAGACTGGTGGTTCAAACCCACCAGCCACTCTTCGGAAGGAAGATGGGACAATCTACTTCCGTAGTGATACTGCCTTTGAAACCCAAGGAGGGGTCGCTGTGAGTTGGGTCCGACTCAATGGCACATAACAACAACAACTATTTTATTTAAGCTCTTCAAATCCTCTCACTTAGCTGAAAGGAGTATTTTCCTTCTTACTCTCTGTTACTTTGAAGTATTTTTCTCGCCCACCTC